TGCCGGCGTGCCTGGAGAGGGTCTTCAGGCCCTCCTTGGTGGTGAAGGGGTCGAGGCAGTGCTTGTCCCGGGACAGGATGCGGATGCTCTCCAGGCAGGTGACCTGGCAGGACGGCTGCAGCTCTCTCTCCAAGAACTTGATCAGCAGCTGGGCCATTTTCTGTGCAGTTGGAAACAAGCAATGCCTTGGATACTGACACTTGCCAGGGCTCCCTACAGCATTGCCATGCTCTGCCCTGGACAACAGCAGTGTCACCTGGGCCTGCTCAGGTGTTGCCTCAGGAAGTGCCTGGCTCTGGCATTGATCATGACCAGTCTGGGCAAGAACAACCAGGAAAAAAATTACTTGCAGAGAGTGTTGGGTGCAAAGGGAGAGCACAAACAAGGCACTGTTGTAGCTCTGCCCTGGTGAGGATGGCTCAGGCAGACAGGGCCGACCTGCCCACTGCACAAGGGAGGGACATGGGACACAAGGGACGTGAGGAGGGCACCTGATGCCTTGGGAAAAGAGGTGAAGAGACCTCAGGAGATTCAAATAAGCAGCATCTCCTTAATTTCAGTGCTGTCTGGAGACCTACTGGCCCAGATCTTCCATGGGTACAGACTGGCAGAGCCCCACTAACACAATTCACAGGAGCTGCAAAGCTCATGGGGAACAGCGAGTCATGGAGCAGCACAAGAACACAGGTAAGGCCTCACAGATACAGGCAGCTCAGGCTGAACCACATGTGGCAGCACTTCACATCACACCAGTAACCCACACACACTGCTGGGGGAGCCCACCAGACCTCAAACACAACACAGCTCCGAGCATGGGTCTTTCTGTGGTGTTACAAGAGTGAAAGAACTCAAAAAATGAGGTTTGTAACTGGCTTAACAGCCCCACTGGTTACACTTCGAAATAATCAGAGAATCATTAAGCTTGGAATCATTAATCATAATCATCCAGGTTGGAAAAGACCTCCAAGACCATCAAGCCCAACCTGTGACCAATCGGCACCTTCACAACCAGACCAGAGGATGGGACAGTCATTCCCTGAATACCTCCAGAGATGGATGATGGCTACACCACCTCCCTGGGCAGCCTCTTCCCTGACTACCCTTTCCATTAAGAAATTCCTCCTGATATCCCACCTGACTTTCCCCTGGTGAAATGAAAATACTAAGGGAAGAAATTAAGAAAAACTGAACTTCAGTCCTTAATGTGAGGCTCATGGTGTGCCCCACACTCACATTCTGGGGAAATGATGAAGTACAGCTGTTTCTCTTCTCCTTCCTCACATGGAGACCAAGTTTTAGATAGAGTCCCAGCAACCAAAGCCGCAGGCTGGCTCAGGGGAAAGGGATCTCAGGGTGTGTGCCTGAAGCTGAACACCCAAGCACCAGGAACTAGCGGTGATGTTCATCTCATATTTCATGGCAGACACCCCAAAAGTGGGACACTGTGCCTGAAGCCACATCCTGTGACTGTCCCAGCTCACCCAGCAGGTCAGTGCAAGGCAAAGAGCTCAGATCTCATCAGATCCAGTCACACGTTTCAGGCTGTGCCTGGAACTCTCCATGTGGCAGCAGCTGGCCCTGGCACAGCCAAAGGAGGTCCTGCTCTCCACCCAGGTCACCTGGCCTGCACTTGCTGTGCTCACAGGCATTGGCACCATCCACCAGTGAACTGACCAGAGAACTGAGCCAGCTGGAAAACAACCCAGGGAAAACAGTCATTTTTATGGCAGAACAGCCAGGCCGAGGCCTGCCCTGTCACAAAGTGCTGCAGGAGCAGGAATGAGCAGGCAGAGTGTCCTTCCCTCCAAGTGCCAGATTACAGCAGCTCAAAGGATTTGCTAATACACAGCTCCTGGAAAATCCCACTGCTGGCTCCCAGGGGAGCCCCTCACCCTCCCCCAGAGCCAGCACTGCTGTGATCCCTGTCCAGAGGCACCAGAGATCACATCCATGGCTGGGACTAAATGGATCATGGAACCATTGCTAGTGTCAGATGGATGCTGACCTTTACTCAAAACAACCAACTACTGATGGAAAAAAACAGAGCCAGACACTCCAAGCGCACAATTTCCTAACCAAGTTAATGGAAAACTCTCAGTTCCTCTCCTGTGGGAGCTCCTTGCCAAGCCCAGCTGGACATGAGCACAGAGCAGCAGATTTACACACTGACCAGAGGAGGAAAGCAAGCAGCATGTGCCTACCTTCCTCTCTTCCCGCTCCTCATCCTCAAAGATGAAGCACTGAGATTTCTGTGGGAAAAACAAAATCAATCAGAAAGAGGAATAGGTTAAAACTCCATGGGACCAGAGTAGAGCCATTCAGCTGGAAAGCAGCAGGTGCAAAACATGCTGCAACAGCAAACACACCATGTCCTGACAGTGCCCCCACACCATGGGCATCACCTCTGGATGCACAGCACCAGTGCAATGCCACAGGCCAGCTGACAGATGGATTTAGTTTAAATACTGCAGCAGCACAGTGGGTATTCATCCCAATCCCAATATCCTATAAGAGCCGGTAATTCCCCTGCTCAGTGATACCACTGAGCTGTGCCTGCACGTCCTCCCCTTGATATGTATTAGTCCTTTTCCTGCCCCAAAGAAGTCCTGTCTCCTTGGTACATGGGAATGGATCCTTCTGGTTACCCAGGCTGTTCTTTACACACAAGGGACTTGATGTCCACGCTCCATCCTGTCCCTATGCTAACAAACCCTCCTGATCTCCATTCATTGTGTTGCTCTTGAGATTTTGTTTGTTCTTCACTGCCAGTCTCCCTCCTGACCAAACCTGCTCCCATGGAACTGGAGACCACAGGTGCCTGGGGAGAAGCAGCACCTCCCAGACATTTGAGGCAATCCTTGTTCATACCAAGAGAGCATTTGATGCCAGCTTGGAGAACAAAAACACTTAAATCCATAAAACACTGACTATGTGCGTGCAGTCACCAAGAGCGCAGGGTTGTGTCCAGCCTGGAAGCAGCGATGGACACAGTGGCTGGAGCAGCCCCAGGTGTGGGGGCAGGACAGGTGTACTCCAGCCAGGCTGTGTGTGAGCTGATCCATCCACACCACCAGGACCTGATGGCTCAGTGCTGGCACTGCTGTGTTCCACAAGCAGGCTGCTGCTTCTTCCCTCAGCACATCCTCTTTTCAGGCTGTAATCCCATTTGGGGATATTTTGGCCACACCTGGGGTTTTGCTTTAGCTGTAGTAATTCCCAGCAAGCAAAAACTGCCTGCACAACAGTGAATTAAAACAAATCCTCAGGAAAAGCGAACAGAACCATCAGCCTTGCAGCACAAGCAATGCCAGGCCGTGCCAGGTTTATCTGCAGTTTCATAATCCTCTTTGACTGCTCCATTTCCTCCAGACGGGCCGGCAAACCCTGTGCTTGCAGCTCCCTAGGCTTGATACCCAGGAAGGACCCAGCTGGGGGAATCCAACAGGAAATATCTTGTTTTGGGGGCACACAGACACCATTTGCACCCCGAGGATGTTGGTGCTGCACCTGCTGCTGGTGCTGTTAATCCTCAGTGCTGTCCTTAACAGACACCTGCTCCTCCTTGGCCAATATCTCCCCACTCCAAATCGGACTGTCAGGAATAATTCCACACTCTCTCTCTCTCTCTCACACACACACTCCTGCAAAATATTCCTCAGGTTTTCCCTCCTGGCTTCCACCTACTCCAGCCTGGTGCAGAGTGAGTCAGAGTGATCCACAGGGCCAGCCCCTCTCAGGGGAAACCTCTGAAGGAAATTTCCCTGACAACCAGAGTCTGTTTCAAACAGGATTTCAGAGAGCCATAGAATATCCTGAGCTGGAAGGAACCCACATGATCCATGCAGTCCAGCTCTGGGCCCTGTGCAGACACCACAACAATCCCACCCTGTACCTGAGAGCATTGTCCAAACGCTCCTGGAGTTCTGGCAGCTTTGGGGCAGTGCCCACTCCGTGGGGAGCTTGCTCAGTGCCTGACCCTCCTCTGAGGGAAAGAACCTTTTCCTGATATCCAGCCTAAACCTCTCCAGCTGTTCCCTTGGGTCCTGTCACTGGCCAGAGAGCAGAGACTGGAGCTGCCCCTCAGGAGGAAGCTGTAAACAGCTGAGGTCTCCCCTCAGTCTCCTCTCTCCAAGCAGAGATTTACCACCACAGATAATCTTTTCCTACTTTAAGGCTAGAAATGCTCCCATCTCTGCTTCCAGATCATTTGGGTTTGATATTCTACATTCATCATTTACTGCCTCAGAGCTGTGCCCAAATGAGATCCCAGCAGTCACCTCCAACCATCTTTTGACTTGCAAATCCCAACATCCTTTCACCTGCAGCTCCTCCCTGGACTCTCTCAGCACCTCCAAAACTGCCTTAACAAAAAAGCTCCTCTTACTCAGTCCTCCCCCTGACTCTTATTTCCTGGCCTTTCTTGGGATCTGGATAACAATTTTTTTAGGAGTCCCTGAGCTGAGGGAAGCATTGATGCTCACTCACCTCTTGGTTGTAGACCTGGAGCACCTTGAGAACCGTGTCCTGCTCCCCATTTTCCAGCGTGGATAACACAGCCTGGAGCTCCATTATCCCAACAGCTCAGCTACAGCACAGCCCAGAGGAAGGGGAGCAAGGGGATTTCCAGGGTGATGGAAAAGCAGCTCGGCACACAGACCTCTGAGAGGGAAGAGAGAAAGGGGTGGAGAGAGCAAGGAGAGAAAAAATGCAACACAAAAAAAATCCCCAAGCAATATTGCTCACACTGCTGCATCCATAAAAGTGGAGCAGATGGATAACCCGAGCAAAGCCAGCAGCCAGCTTCCTCTCTCTCCTGCTAATCCTCTTCTTCCTCGCTTTGCTTTTCAATGTTTAATATATGCCCTCCCAGGAAAGCACTCAGGGAAAAACCTTCCCCCCACCAGCTGGGGATTAACGTGGAGCAGATAACAGCAGCTCCCTGAAATAGCTCCCTGCCTCCTCCTCCTCCTCCCCGCCTGCCCTGATTTCTGCTGCGGCACAGGGGGGAAAATAACAAATAAAGCCAGAAACACTCCCGTGGAGTGACAAGGGATGGAGCGGCGAGGCAGCCGGGCGGGAGAGCATCCTCCGGCCGCAGGCGGAGCTACCTTGGCAGGTGGT